TATATATATATATATATATATATATATATATATATATATATATATATATATATATATACATTTGTTTGCCACTTTATAATATATATATATATATATTCTTAATATATATAAGCCATTCTTAAAATTGTGGTATTAATTGGGCTTTGGGGTTTATTCCACAGGCTATGCCCTGTGTTTTCAAACAACTACCATCAAAACGTACTGCCCTCCCTAATTGGCTTCTCAATATTAGATACCAAAAACACCTTACTACCACAAGTATTTCCCCTACCATTCCATCCACCCCTCCCCCTACCCCTGTTACCACCTCTATCCCTGTTGTTAACCCCAGGGTGTCAGCATATTCTAATAAAACCCAATGGCCAAAACCTTCACATCTTAGTAACCTACTCAATTATTGTTTAAAATACATATATTTTAAAATCCAAAATATTTCATATTGGTGGGTGGTTAACTAAAAAACAAAGAAAACAGCAGTAATAGTGCCAAAGGCGATCTCTCCAAATAGGCCCCAAAACGCGCAACTGTATGGTTCTATAAAATTCCATAACAGGGTAAATATAATGGCCGCCCCTAAACTCTGCAGTGTAACAAATAAAGTTGGCCCTTACTGCTATTTCATCACCCAATTGGTAAATAAGCAAACGTAGACCCAAAGGGCTTGCTCCACCACAAAAATGTATGCCTGTACTGGATTGCTCCCAGTAACTAATCATTTAACCTGCACCATATAGCAACATGTCCCTTCCTATGCATTTAATGCTGCTGCCTTCCAAAAAATGTGCAATTATCCAGTCAACAAATATGGTACAAGCCTTCTCAAAAACAAAATGTGTTAAAATTTCAATAAACCCTAGTCTACGCTACTCTAAAAACTGTCAGGTTCACATTGCCCTTATCTGGCTTCCAGGTTACCTCTATATACCCTAACTGCTCAAAAAAAAACTGCTATTAGGCAAGCACAGCAGAGGGCCTGGGTTTCCCCTAAAAATAAAAAAAAAGGGGCCAAACACCTATGGGGTGGAGCCAACAGCACGGCTGCTGTTTAAAACATTTACTTGCTACGAGGAGAGGGAGAGGAGGCAGGTCGTAAAGGGATAAGCTACTGAATATACAAATATGGCATTCGGGGAGAGGCTAAGGCAGCACATCATTTCAAAATTTTAAAGAAAACTGGGTGCTGAGATTCCCATGCAGTCCCTTAATTCCAGAAGTTGGGGCTTTAGGAAAAACAGGAATTAGTGCGAAACTCCTGATGAAATCCCAAAGGGGGCGCTGCTGGCTGTCTCTCAAGCGGAGCACCCACAGATGAAGGCACAGAGGGTAAGTCAGTGGACATTTCATTCATCAGTGAGGGAGACACTTTCCCCTCCGCACTAGGGTACAGAGCCCCCAGGCATGAGACATGAACATGCCAGGTAAGCAAGGCCATACACACGTAACCCATGCCCAGCTCCAAATACCTGCTGCTAGCTCTCTGTTGAACCCAAACAACGCCCCACCCAGATCTAGCGACCCCCAAACTTGGTGATGTTGGAAATTTGGATGCAGGTAAGAGGTCTATCCCCAGTGCTGGAGCAGCTCTCACTGTTCCTGGAGTAGGTGGGAGTCAGGATCAGACCGAGGGGCAGGGCTCTGTTTGGCCAGACAATGCTCTCCAGATTCTTTGCTAGCACGTCCTGATTCCCGCACCTTACTGCCAAGCTGCAGGAGGGGCCCAGAACTCCCTCGTCAAAAAGTGCTGTGCTGCTGCTTCTTTCGTATGGTGGGAATTGAGCAGCAACTACTATTTCACCTGAAGTCAATCGAGCTAAATAACGACATTAAGAATAACAGAATTTAGCAATGCCTCCTTCCTACTTAGAAATTGGGCAGTAGGTAGTGATCTGAGCCATAATAAAACTCCTGTGGCTGACACACAGAGGGACTAAGTGAGTTGCCCCAGGTCACAGAAGAAGTTTGTGGAACAGCATGGACCTGAAGCCAGTTCTTCTGAGTCCCAGGCCAGCACTTAAACCCCTGAACCATCCTTCCTCTCTGGGTCTAGTGGCTGGGGAGGGGGCAGTTGGCATCTCGGCATGCTGAGATTACCAGAAACCCAGGGAAATAAACTCCTGTGAAATCTCGAAACAGGAGCACAAGAACTATTATTTTTTTCAGATGATAACACTGTGTCATGCTTTCTCCTGCATCTCTTGAGGGGCAAATCCACCGGCGATGGCATAGAGCAGGGTCATAGTGGACAAGCAACTCCACATGAGCTCCCGGTGTGATGCAAAATGGACTAATGTGACCCAAAGGGACATAGGCCTGGATGGGACCTCCTGGGTCAATGCTATGGCAGGTGTCCCCAGCATATCACCCAGTGCATAAACCTGTATAGGTAGAGTCTGGATGAGTTTTCTCCTATCAGCTATCTGGGAGGGGGAGTGAATCATAGAATCATAGAATATCAGGGTTGGAAGGGACCTCAGGAGGTCATCTAGTCCAACTCCCTGCTCAAAGCAGGACCAATTCCCAGCTAAATCATCCCAGCCAGGGCTTTGTCAAGCTGGACCTTAAAAACCTCCAAGGAAGGAGATTCTACCACCTCCCTAGGTAACCCATTCAAGTGCTTCACCACCCTCCTAGTGAAATAGTGTTTCCTAATATCCAACCTAGACCTCCCAGACCATTGCTCCTTGTTCTGTCATCTGCCAGCACTGAGAACAGGCGAGTGCCATCCTCTTTGCAACTACCCCTTCAGGTAGTTGAAAGCAGCTATCCTATTTATAAATTGGGCAGTAGGTACTGATAGCTACTGAAACAACATCCACGTCCCTTCTCTTTATTGACTGTATCGACTGGAATTCTGAGAGTGGAGCAGCCACCGACACGTCTCTTTATGTGCCCTGGCTCTCCACGAACACAGTCACTTTGTAAATGCTGCTGCCTTCTATGGTCTCCCTCCCCCAGTGTGCTGTCCTCTTTCATCAGCCCCTCTCCCCTTCTTCCAGGCCTTATACCACAACTGAACCTCTCTCTATAGAGTAGAGAATAGTAGCTCATATTGTCTAGGATATACAGGATGTAATATGTGTCTGTTACACATGTTTTTCGTTTCCAATGTCACCGCCGCTGAAGCCAACTGATGAATTGATGAATATCAGGGTTGGAACTTGATGAACACCCTGATTATCCTCGCACGAAGGTGTTTGCTTTTCAAGCTGTACACGATTGGGTTAATCAGGGGAGGGACCAGCAGAGAGATGTAGCCCAGGAGAATCTGAAGTAAGGGAGACGATTTCTTCCCAAATCTATGTATCACAGACAGGCCGATCTCTGGCGTGTAGAAGAGCAGGACGGCGCAGAGGTGGGAAACGCAGGTGTTCAGGGCCCTGAGGCACTCTGCCTGGGACACGATGCTAAGCACTGTTTTGAGGATCATCACATAAGAAAGGAAGATGAGCAGCGAGTCCAACCCCAACGTTAAGAGTTTAGTAAATAATCCATAGATGCTGTTGACACTGATATCCGAACAAGCCATCTTCATGACCTCCTGGAAGAGGCAGTACGAATGGGAGAGGACATTGGCTCGACAGTATTGGAAACGATGCAGGAACAAGGGCAGTGGGAGTATTATAGCCACCCCTCTTAGCACACACACCAGTCCCATCTTAGGTATTCTTGGCAGGGTTAAGATGGAAGCATATCTCAGTGGGTTACAGATAGCGATGAAGCGGTCAAAGGCCATCAACAAGAGCACAGAGGATTCAATGCATTGAAGTGAGTGGATGAAGAAGAGCTGGGCTAAACAGGCATCAAGGCTGATCTCCCTAGAATTAAACAAGAATATGCCCAGTATCGTTGGCATAGTAGTTATTGATATGCCAAGCTCTGTGATGGCCAACATGGAAAGGAAAATGTACATGGGCTCATGGAGGCTTGGATCTGTTTTTATAATGAACAGAATGACTGAATTTCCTAATATCGAAATAACATACATGAAGCAGAAGGGGATAGAGATCCAGAGATGGAAATCTTCCTGCCCATGTAGCCCCGTCAGAAGGAATACTGCAAATTGGAATTTGGTGTCATTGACAGTTGACATAATGTACTGGACAGGCCCTGGGAGTTTTCCACTTTTCTTCCTAAAAGGAAAAAGAACAGGAAATTAGATGATATTTAAAGAAATATCTTTCTTCTCTCAGTGCATGTCTAGAGATGTCCAGGAATTGAAGGTAGATCAGCAAAAACATACTGTTGGATTGACAGCACTGATAGGAAAGTAGGCACTGTCAAACTGGATCAGACCTGCAGTCCATCTAGCCCAGTAACAAGTGGCCAATTCCAGATGCTTCAGGCGACGGTGGAAGAACCCCTGCAATGGACAGCTATGAGATAACCTGCTCCTAGGAAAGTTACCCCCTGACACCCACTAGTTAGACATATTTTGTGATGTAAGTCAGGAGGGTGTACAGCCCGTAACAAGACTTATTTTTTTTTAAAATCTGTACTACTGTAATTGAATTTTCTGGTTACCCATAGACACATTCAGTCCCTCTTTAAATCCTGCTAAGCTCTTGTCCCCATCAATATCTTGTAGCTGTGAGTTCTGCAGCCTATTTGAGAACTGTGTAATTTTACAATTGTGACCTTCACACAGACACTCCTTCTGGCCCTCCACTTCCGAGTGTGGTCCATTGCATCTTCACATGTGGTAAACACATGGCTAATGCATGCTGAAAACGGTCATTGTATGTGTCTGTCCTGCATTGAAACTATTTCTAAGTGTGTTTCATTGCCCCAATAACTATCCTATTTATTTCCCCCAGTCCTGAGAGTCCAAATTATGCCACTACCTCTTTCCAGGACATAGGATAAATTCTTAGGGGCAGGTGTTTAATTCAATAACAATGACTTCAATGGCATCACTCCATTGTACATACCTTTGTACATTGGATCAGAACCAACCTCTAATAACTTTCCCTAACAAAATCCTACCGGTGATACACTCTGACCCCCCAAGAATCCCTCTAAGAAAAGCTTCTCTTCATCCACACAGGACCTGCATCCTCTCTCCATGCAAGGGTCTGTAGATATTTGGCAAGATACAAGCTAACACAGACAGTTATTTCAGCTGGGGGAGGGAGGGATTGGCGACACAAATGGGTGAATACTGAAAATACTGGTGTTCCACTAATGTGCAGTTCAGTGTACAAGTTACTTCAGTCGTACTCCTGTAACAGGTGATGAGCATAAATTACTTACAGCCACAATAACACTCCCCTTTCCTGCACCTCAGCTCTCCTCTTTGCTGAAACACTGACCAGCGGTTCTGTTCTCTCATAACATTTACACATCTGTACTTTAGTACACACATGTCAACCACAGGTGCTGAACCCATTCGGACCTGCTGGGCAGCACGTTCAACTCGCAGTGTGCTGTAGCCGAGTGCTCAGTCTGAGGGCGGAAGAATCATGGGATTCCACCCTGTGATGGGGCAGGCTATGAGGCCTGACAACTGGGATTCATAGACTAGAGCGGGGGCGGAGATGCAGGTAGCCCTGTAACTCTGAGCAGTCTCTACAGGGCAGAAATACTGGAGCCCTCAGCCACGCAGGAAACAGAAATATGCCCTATCAGGCCAGTTACCACAAAGCAATGCAGCTCTGAATTCCTGCGTTCGCAATCAAGCCAGAGAATAACCCTTTGAAAATGCATTTGCTACTTAATTTTCAGGAGCAAATAAACCTGAGGCGATTTGGGAATTAGTCACTGATACTCCAGGGGGTTTCTTCTCACTCAGCCCCTGGCATTATCTAGCCCAGAGCACACGGCACCTCTAGAAATGGGACCCCCGGTCACTGACTCCCCCCGACAGCCCAGCTGAGTCCTCTGCCGCTGCACAGAACATCTGCAAATAGAAACAGCTTCAAGACTTTCTCCTTCACTTTGCATTGTAAAGATAGTGAAACCTGCCAACGTACCCAATTCCTGCTAGAAGGGGAGCCGCTGACACCAGAGGTCTTCACCGTAAAGGACAAGGAGTCATTGGAGAGGTAGCACGGGCAGCAGGCAGTATCTGTTCAGACAGGGAGGCAGCTGTCTTTATGAAGCATGTCTGCACATTCCCTTGGGGGCCACTTGGCCATCAGGGAACCTCAGCTTCTCGGCTTCATGTGCACCAGCTTTAACCCCGCCACAGCAAAGGGCAAACTGCAGGAGGTCAAATCACAGGGGACACGTGGTGATGCTTCCCAGCATGACTTCAGTGCCAGCCCTGCTGCAGGCTCTATTCCTGGAATCCAGGCTTGTCATCACTGTTCATATAGTCTATCCCTGTTGTTAACCCCAGGCTGTCAGCATATTCTAATAAAACCCAATGGCCAAAACCTTCACATCTTAGTAACCTACTAAATTATTGTTCAAAATACATATATTTTAAAATCCAAAAAAAAATTCATATTGGTGGGTGGTTAACTAAAAAACAAAGAAAACAGCAGTAATAGTGCCAAAGGCGATCTCTCCAAATAGGCCCCAATACGCGCAACTGTATGGTTCTATAAAATTCCATAACAGGGTAAATATAATGGCCGCCCCTAAACTCTGCAGTGTAACAAATAAAGTTGGCCCTTACTGCTATTTCATCACCCAATTGGTAAATAAGCAAACGTAGACCCAAAGGGCTTGCTCCACCACAAAAATGTATGCCTGTACTGGATTGCTCCCAGTAACTAATCATTTAACCTGCACCATATTGCATCATGTCCCTTCCTATGCATTTAATGCTGCTGCCTTCCAAAAAATGTGCAATTATCCAGTCAACAAATATGGTACAAGCCTTCTCAAAAACAAAATGTGTTAAAATTTCAATGAACCCTAGTCTATGCTACTCTAAAAACTGTCAGGTTCACATTGCCCTTATCTGGCTTCCAGGTTACCTCTATATACCCTAAATGCTCAAAAAAAAACCAACAACTGCTATTAGGCAAGCACAGCAGAGGGCCTGGGTTTACCCTAAAATAAAAAAAAGGGGCCAAACACCTATGGGGTGGAGCCAACAGCACGGCTGCGGTTTAAAACATTTACTTGCTACGAGGAGAGGGAGAGGAGGCAGGTCGTAATGGGATAAGCTACTGAATATACAAATATGGCTTTCGGGGAGAGGTTAAGGCAGCACATAATTTCAAAATGTTAAAGAAAACTGGGTGCTGAGATTCCCATGCAGTCCCTTAATTCCAGAAGTTGGGGCTTTAGGAAAAACAGGAATTAGTGCGAGACTCCTGATGAAATCCCAAAGGGGGCGCTGCTGGCTGTCTCTCAAGCGGAGCACCCACAGATGAAGGCACTGAGGGTACGTTAGTGGACATTTCATTCATCAGTGAGGGATACACTTTCCCCTCCGCACTAGGGTACAGAGCCCCCAGGCATGAGACATGAACATGCCAGGTAAGCAAGGCCATACACACGTAACCCATGCCCAGCTCCAAATACCTGCTGCTAGCTCTCTGTTGAACCCAAACAATGCCCCACCCAGAACTAGCGACCCCCAAACTTGGTGATGTTGAAAATTTGGATGCAGGTAAGAGGTCTATCCCCAACGCTGGAGCAGCTCTCACTGTTCCTGGAGTAGGTGGGGGTCAGGATCAGACCGAGGGAAAGGGCTCTGTTTGGCCAGATAATGCTCTCCAGATTCTTTGCTAGCACATCCTGATTCCTGCACCTTCCTGCCGAGCTGCAGGAGGGGCCCAGAACTCCCTCGTCAAAAAGTACTGTGCTGCTGCTTCTTCTTTCGTATGGTGGGAATTGAGCAGCAACTACTATTTCACCTGAAGTCAATCGAGCCAAATAACTACATTAAGGGTATGTCTACACTATGAAATTAGGTCGAATTAATAGAAGCCTGTTTTATAGAAATCGGTTGTATACAGCCGATTGTGTGTGTCCCCACATAAAATGCTCTAAGTGCTCTAGTCGGCGGACCGCGTCCACAGTACCGAGGCTAGCGTCGACTTCCGGAGCATTGCACTATGGGTAGCTATCCCACAGTTCCCGCAGTCTCCGCCGCCCATTGGAATTCTGGGTTTTGATCCCAATGCCCGAATGATGCAAAACAGTGTCGCGGGAGGTTCTGGGTACATGTCATCAGGCCCCTCCCCCTCCGTTAGAGCAACGGCAGACAATAGATTCTGCCTTTTTACCTGGGTTACCTGTGCAGACAACATACCACGGCAAGCATGGAGCCCGTTCAGCTCAGCTCACCGTCACCATATGTCCTCTGGGTGCCGGCAGACATGGGACTGCATTGCTACACAGCAGCAGCAGCTAACTGCCTTTTGGCGGTAGATGGTGCAGCATGACTGGTAGCCTTCATCGGCGATCTGGGTGCTGGCAGCTGTGGGGCTGGCAGCCGTAGGGCTGCATTGCACCAGCCCCTTGCCTTTTGCCTTTTGGCAGTAGATGGTGTATTATGACTGGTAACCGTCCTATTACAAGTTGGATCATCGCACATTAGCAGAGTCTTCCCTGAGCAGCAGATCGTGCAATAGGGCTGAAGTCCATCGTCATCATACAGGAAAAATGTGGCTATCAGTCTTAGTACACTAACTGCCAAGCGCCCAGTATTTGCTGCCAAGCACCCAGAAGTCATGCTGCACCATCGTCTTAAGATGTAAAAAATAGGTTTGTTCTGTATTCATTTGCTTCCCCCTCCCTCCGTCAAATCAACGGCCTGCTAAACCCAGGGTTTTCAGTTTAATCTTTGGGGGGGGGCATTCTGTGTGACAGTTGTATGTGTTTCTCCCTGATGAACAGCCACCTTTCTTGATTTTACTTCCCTGTACCTGTACGTCATGTACGTCATGTACGTCATGTAAGTCATGTCGTCACTCGGCCCGCCCTCCCTCCCGCCCTCCTTCCCCTGGTCCGTCAGATACTAGTTTCACGCCTTTTTTCAGACCAGGTGCCATAGCTAGCACTGGGATCATGGAGCCCGCTCAGATCACCGCGGCAATTATGAGCACTATGAACACCACGCGCATTGTCCTGGAGTATATGCAGAGCCAGGACATGCCAAGGCAAAACCCAGACCAGCCGAGGAGGCGATTGCAGCACGGCGAAGAGAGTGATGAGGAAATTGACATGGACATAGACCTCTCACAAGGCAAGGGCCCCAGCAATGTGGAAATCATGGTGTTACTGGGGCAGGTTCATGCCGTGGAACGCCGATTCTGGGCACGGGAAACAAGCACAGACTGGTGGGACCGCATCGTGCTGCAGGTGTGGGACGATTCCCAGTGGCTGCGAAACTTTCGCATGCGTAAGGGCACTTTCATGGAACTTTGTGACTTGCTTTCCCCTGCCCTGAAGCGCCAGAATACCAGGATGAGAGCAGCCCTCACAGTTGAGAAGCGAGTGGCGATAGTCCTGTGGAAGCTTGCAACACCAGACAGCTACCGGTCAGTCGGGAATCAATTTGGAGTGGGCAAATCTACTGTGGGGGCCGCTGGTGATATCAAGGGTAGTGACTCTGGGCAACGTGCAGGCAATAGTGGATGGTTTTGCTGAAATGGGATTCCCAAACTGTAGTGGGGCGATAGACGGAACCCATATCCCTATCTTGGCACCGGAGCACCAAGCCACCGAGTACATAAACCGCAAGGGGTACTTTTCAATGCTGCTGCAAGCCCTGGTGGATCACAAGGGACGTTTCACCAACATCAACATGGGATGGCCAGGAAAGGTACATGATGCTCGCGTCTTCAGGCACTCTGCTCTGTTTCGAAAGCTGGAGGAAGGGACTTTTTTCCCGGACCAGCAAGTAACCGTTGGGGATGTTGAAATGCCTATCGTGATCCTTGGGGACCCAGCCTACCCCCTAATGCCATGGCTCATGAAGCCGTACACAGGCAGCCTGGACAGGAGTCAGGACCTGTTCAACTATAGGCTTAGCAAGTGCCGAATGGTGGTGGAATGTGCATTTGGACGTTTAAAAGTGCACTGGCGCAGCTTACTGACTCGC